GATAGAAAGAAAGATCGATAGATATATAGTTGGACAGAATGACAGATAGATAGACAGATTTTTATAAAATGTAATATATATGTGTGTTCGTGTATGTGTCTATATATGAATATATATTCATGTATATATGTGTGTGCGCATGGAATTGTGTGCTCGTGTTTGTGTGAGTGAAGCTGTTTGTAGGTGTGAATGTATGCATTTATATATCTATTGTGTAAGTGAGAGAGAAATGGAAACAGAGGGAAGTGTAGATCCCATAATTTTATGTTGGAAATCTTGATAAAACTTTCCATTTTCTAACTCCTTGTGTCGTCGACGGTTGGCTGGTTAGATTCAATAGCAGTAAATCCTCTTTTCTGCGGTCGAGTTTCCTCGCGTTCGGAATATTTATGGATTTCTAATTGAAAAAAAAAGTGTGGCGTCATTGGCAATAGGCGTTTAGCGTGTTCGTTGCAATACGCAATATTCCGAATCGTTCTTTATAACGTGTTCATGACCGCTTCTCCCGTGCAGAAGTAATAGTAATCCTTCATTTATCATTATCATGCATTTGTTTAGATTTAGCATGTTCTTCCCTTGCAGATTGCAAACAAAGATTACGCAGGCTAAACTAAAAGTGGCATCCATCCCCACTTGCGGCGATCCACTGAGGGTCGGAGAGGCGGGGTTGTTGGTGGTGGGGGGGGGGGTGAATGGGAGAGAGGAATGAGGTGTGAATGGAGCTCTATGATCGATATAAAAGCTCACCACAGCAAGACTCATCAGCAAGTAAGCAATTTGCTTCAGTGCAGTCAACAACACTATGGTAAGTTTATAGTAATTTTCAATTTACGAAATTTTACTCTAAAAGAAATGGCCTAGATTTGTATATTATGATATTAGTGTAGTTTATATAAGAACGAGCATTTCTACAAAAGAGTAAAAAAAAGAAACAAAAAAACAGGGCAGTTGCTAGTGATCATGTTAATTAGCAATACCACAAAAAGAGAGAAAAAAAATGTTATATAAAGGTTTTACAAAACATGTTATAAAAGCTATATCTGGTAAAGCAGCTTACCAAAGAGTTAGTGAAGAGTGATACGAACAAGAAAAGGACGTGGAGTAATTCCCCCGCGTTCGCTCACAGAGGCTCATCGTTGTGGCGGCGTTTGTGGCGGTCGTGGCGGCCTCCGGCTGGGCGATGCCTGGCTCCTTCGGCGGCAACGGAGGCGGAGGCTACGGCTCCTCCGGCCGTGGGGCCAGCGGGCAGGGAGGCGGCACGGGAGGCAACGGAGGATATGGCTCTTCAGGAGGAAGCGGAGGCCAAGGGTCCAGCGGAGGGGGGAATGGAGGTAACGGGGGAGGCTATGGATCTAATGGAGGAGGCTTCGGTTCCAACGGAGGGGGAAGTGGAGGCAGCGGAGGAGGATATGGGTCCAACAGAGGAGGCTTCGGTTCCAACGGAGGGGGAAGTGGAGGCAGCGGAGGAGGCTATGGGTCCAACGGAGGAGGCTTCGGTTCCAACGGAGGGGAAGTGGAGGCAACGGAGGAGGCTATGGGTCCAACGGAGGAGGCTTCGGTTCCAACGGAGGGGAAGTGGAGGCAACGGAGGGCTATGGGTCCAACGGAGGAGGTTCGGTTCCAACGGAGGGGGAAGTGGAGGCAACGGAGGAGGCTATGGGTCCAACGGAGGAGGCTTCGGTTCCAACGGAGGGGGAAGTGGAGGCAACGGAGGAGGCTATGGGTCCAATGGAGGGGGAAATGGAGGCAACGGAGGGGGAAATGGTAATAACGGAGGAGGCTATGGGTCCAATGGTGGGGGAGGTGGAGGTTCTGGCAACGGCAACCAGAACGGAGTTGCCAAAGCAACAGTTAGCTTCCACCTTGGCGCTCCACAAGGCAGTGGCAACGGAGGTGGAGGCTATGGTGGTTCCAACAGTGGAAATGGTGGAGGTAATGGTGGAAACAATGGTGGCAACGGCGGAGGTTATGGCGGTTCTAACGGAGGAAATAACGGAGGCAACGGTGGAGGTTATGGCGGTTCCAGCGGAGGAAATAATGGAGGCAACGGCGGAGGTTATGGTGGTTCCAGCGGAGGCTTCAACGGCGGTTCCAGCGGAGGCAACAGTGGAGGTTATGGCGGTTCCAACGGAGGCTTCAACGGCGGTTCCAATGGAGGAAATAACGGAGGCAACGGTGGAGGTTATGGCGGTTCCAACGGAGGCTTCAACGGCGGTTCCAGCGGAGGGAATAACGGAGGCAACGCAGCGGAGGCTTCAACGGCGGTTCTAACGGAGGCAACTTTGGAGGTTATGGCGGTTCCAGCGGAGGAAATAATGGAGGCAACGGCGGAGGTTATGGTGGTTCCAGCGGAGGCTTTAACGGCGGTTCCAACGGAGGCAACGGTGGAGGTTATGGCGGTTCCAGCGGAAGCAACGGTGGAGGACATGGCGGTTCCAGCGGAGGCTTCAACGGCGGTTCCAACGGAGGCAACGGTGGAGGTTATGGCGGTTCCAACGGC